CTCCATCCCCCCCGGCCCTTCCCTGCCCGTGCCTCGCCCCAGCATCGTGCTTCCCTCTGCTCCCACCGCTGTTCTGTTTCGGTTTCCCTCCGGCGGCGCAGGGGGTGGCTCCGGGCCGCGGCGGGCGCTGGAGGTGCCAGTGGTGGCCACGTGCACACACCCACGGAGCCTGGAAAAATAAAGGAGCTTTACTCTGCCCTGTAAAGTGTACCGGTAGCCGGTGAGCCCCGCTGCTCGTAGCCGGGGGCCGGGGCTTGGCGCAGGCTCTAGCTGATTTCGGAGAACGGCGGCATCACGGAGGACAGGTCCTGGATGTGGACAACCTGTCGCGTGTTCTCCACCTTCAGCGTCTGCAGCTCCGTCAGCAGCAGCTTCGCGTAGAGAAACCCTGGGGCAGGGGGCAAGCGCCCAGCTCGGACCCGGTGGCCGTCCGCACGGCGGAGGGGACTGCAGCTGTGCCAACCCCCCCGGCACATACCTGCCCTCGGGCACAGGGTGCCGGTGGTCGATGTAGCTCTTGAGTGTCGGGGCCGCCTTCTCCTGGAACTGGTCGATGAAGTTCTGCTGGGTGATGCCGGTGTGGTCTGGGGGCACAGGACGGGCGGGTGGCCGTCAGCAGGGCTGAGGGGACGCCCTGCCATGGCCACCACGGTCCCTACCTGGCGAGAAGAGCAGTACGGCCTGGAGCAGGACGTACTTGGCCTTGTGCAGCGGCAGCTTCTTCAGGCTCACGTGGAACTTGATCCAAGTAGATCTGCTGGAAGCCGGCTGGGGGGAGCGCGGCGGTGATGGGCGAGCCGGAATGGGGAACGGCTGTCCCCTGCTCCCTGGTGCTGCCATCGCTCCCGCTCACCCAGGGCACCCTGGATGGTGCCCGCGCTCCCGGGCGTTGGTCTCCGCGTTGAAGATGGCATTGAACTGGATCTGGCAGATCTCCAGGGTGGCCCCTTTGAGCGGCGAGATCCGGTGGCGCGGTTCCCCGCACACGGCGCAGACCTTCTCCTCCCCGGGCTCCGCATCCTCCCCTCTGGGGACCCGGGGGCCCGGCAGCGGGCGGGGGCTGCTCTCTGTGTCCACGGGGCTTGACTCGGACATGGCCGGGGATGCGGGTGACAGTGGCTGGACCAGGGGGACTGCAGCAAGGACAGAGCTTGCAGGACGGGACGGGCGTGCAGGGGTGTGCGGGCTGTGTACGTGTGCGTACACACACCGCGGCTCCTGCTTGAGCGACACCCGGCACTGCGCCCTGCAGGCAGCACTGCCTGTCCAGCGAACCCTTCCTTGCCTGCGGCCGATGCCTTGACGCCGGCTTCTGCGCCCCATCCCCTACGCGTCCCCTCGAAGCCACCATGTCTCCCCCACCCCATGGTGCACCACCTTCATGCACCCCCCTGCCGCCGTGACCTCTTGCCCCGGCCACCGCCGAACCACCCGCGGTGATGCCCCCAAAGGCGGCCGGTGCCCGTCGGTGCCGGTACCCGGGGCTTGGTGCCCAACAATGTGGCTGGTGCCCGGTGCCCGCTGCCACGCAGCGAGGAGCCCCCCAGCCCCGGCTCGTCCCCGCCACCTGCCAGCTGGAGCCCTGTGGAGTGTGAACCTTGAACTTGAGCGAGGCTGCAGCAGGCAACATGGAGGGGGGGGACAGACAGGACGGGAGGGACAGGCGGGGGCAGGGGTGGGGGGGGAGGGGGG